ATGTCACGTACAATTTTATTATAACTTAATGCTTTTAAGATTAATTTGTAAATTAATTTTAAAATGTAACAAAATTTATTTTAATTAAATAAAGTAACATACATCAATAAACAACATAAATGACTTGAAATAATAGTGATATTAATCACGATGTTACCAATTCCAGGGCCACTTTGGCACAATCGATGTAAGGCCTATGCAAACAGGTTTTTCCGTATACCAGCCAGTTCGTTTACCATCATCGTGTATATTCCAGTGCACACCACAGCTATAAATGGGACTTTCTTGCCCCACGTTATACGCGCTCACGTTTTTGAACGTAACGTCAAACATCGTTTGCATTTGCAACGCGAAGGTGCCGGTACCATTAATTAACAAATTTTCGAATATGACCCCGTTGATATTGCCATTGACACCGCCGATGGCCTGATACGAGGAGTCGATGATATCGCAGTCCTTGACCTCAATACTGGCGTTAATATTCTCGCTCTCGGCGTCGAACCAAATGGCGCCGATGCCGAAGTTCCAGCCGTAGTCCGAGTTGCCGGCCCTCAACAGAGTGTTCCGGTGCACCACGTGGTTGCCCTTCACAGCGGTCGGTCCACTAACACCGGGATAACGGTTACCGATATGAATACCACCGCCATTGGTGATCGTGTCGTAGACAAAGTTGCCGCTCACTTCGATGTCGGTGCCGCCGTATATGGCGATATTGTTGGCCAACACGGGTACGGCTACCGTGTTGTTCAAGAACTTGTTTTTAATGTTTGGGTGCTTTTCAGCCCACATGGCCAGCCCATCGTCGCCATTGTTCCTAAGGAACGTGTTCTGCACGACAGAGTTGGTCACTCCCATGTGGAAGTTCACGCCATCGGCATTGGTGTCCTCAATGCGACTATTCTTGATGACCAGGTTATTCATGGGTCCGTCCATCCAGCAACCGCACTTGGTGTGTTGCAGCCACATATTGTCCAGGGTCGAGTCCGATAAGGCCCCGCCTATGGCGTTCACTTGGAAATCGTCCTGTCTCTCAGTGATATCACCGATTATAGCAAAATTGGACAGGTGCACATTCTTACTGCCACCCTGAGGGGTTTCTTCTTTATTGTATTTACCGTATATACCGCAAGCTTTATGTCTGTCTTTCGGGTCCCGACCACCGAGCACCGAGTACCAAGGCCCGGCACCGGTCAGGGTAACACCATCGACAATTACGTGATCGTACAGCAGGTAATTACCCTTGGGTATGTACACTGTTTTGCCCTGAGCGTGACCATCGTCTACGGCTTTTTGGAAGGCCTTAGTCGAGTCGGTTTTACCGGTAGGATCGGCTCCGTATGCGGCATCGGTGACAGACAGGGAGCCCGATGGCTGTGAAATGGGTGCACCAATCAATTCAAAATCAGCAAGGTCAATTGTGAACGATGGCGACTTGTCTACCGACGACACTTGCAGTTTCACCTTGGTGCCTTTCGGGTACGACTTGTCCAGAAGCGCGCGTACGGTATCGTAATAGTGATGATGATTACCACCAGGGTTGTTGCCGAACGGATAGCCGCCGTAATAATGGCTGTATTTGCTGGTTAACGTCAAGGGTGTTTTTTTGGTACCGCCCACCAAGAGGTCGATATCGGCCAGACGGACAGAATGATCTTTGCCGTCTGCCGTGTCCGGGATGCTGTACCGAACCACTATCGAGTTGGCCTCAATGGGTGTCGTGAACTCCACGTACTGCCCGACGGCGCTCAGGGTAACCGCTCGACGTGCAGACGCCTCCGAAGACAAGTTACAGTAGTGCCTATCATTGCCGATTAATTGACCAGTGTGGTCTGCGTGCTCGGCTTCCACTTCCACGAAAGCTACCTGGGCACCACGCCCTGGTATCCAGTCCACCGCCGTGATAATGTGGACTAAAAGTCCTAGTATAATTACAATTTTCATTATTACGTGTCACTATATCACTCGTTATTGTTTTGGTTGATTGTATGAACAAATGGTACTACACGTAGACCTTTAAATATGAATTTTGTTTACTAGTATGCCTACTGTATTTATATAGCTTTTGTACAAGTATATTTGTATCCTTAAGAATTATCTAGACGGATATTGCTATAATTCACTATACAATAGTAAATGCGAAGTAAATTCACATTGATAACTATTACCTTGGTTTTGCTCTTTTAAAAACACAAGTGTTTAGTACGTGTTCACCCAATTTTTTTATCTATGTAATAATAATTAGTACATTATAGTAGAGATCTAATGGTATGAAGTAGTTTGGCTTTTAGGATTTTGTTCATATCATCGGATACTTCATAACATTAAATATAGGGTTCGATAGGCATTAAATAGTTTGATAATTTATGATTTTACCCAATGTTCCTGTTATTATTAAATATTATTTTATTTAAATTTGCTTTATTTAATTAATGGCTAATTTTATCATTAGCATTTATTTGGTGATAGATTATTTTTATAAACAAAACTATAATATATAACGTAATTAAATATAAAATGGATAGTTTATAACATATTATCAATTTTTACAAATTTTCTATTATTGAGGTTTTAGTTTCAAATGTTTATAATAACAATCATAGCATTGCTACTTCATAAATTATGAATACTTTGTATTTGTTCAAGACATGTTCTTTGATTTTCAATAAATTATTATTATTATTATATCGAACCCTATTTAACATAGGCTTCAATGGAATGAGGTTTTGATTTTTGAAGTTTACTTTACAACAAACAAAACTTCATATCATCGGAGGTTCATATCATTGGATTTCTATTACAAGTACTTTACAGGTAATATATTATATGCATTTGTACCAATTATCTATTTATTTTATTATTTAGTACTTCAAAAATCTAAATTTAATGTTAAAGCGCATTGGAAAGGACTCAAAAACAATTTGTCCCGATCAGTTTTAAAATTTATGATTAATAATGTTTTAAATATTAATTGAAATATATTAAATATTTAAATCTATAATTTCAAAATTATCTGATTTATAATAAATATTGTAAATAAGTTTATATTTTAGAATAATTATAACTTGTTCAGGGGCTGGGTTAGTTAATTAGTGACCTGGTTGTAATATATAAAATTATCCTTAAATTACTCTTAAAGATTTATATAACTTTAAAAATATAGTTAATTGAGTATAAATTAAAAAATATTTTTATAATATTATAGATTACTTGGTTCACATTTGATATTGAGTTCTTAATTAATCTTGATCAATATAATCCTAATGTAAACTAAAATGAGATAAAACACTCTACAACTAGTACGCAACATATTGTATTTGCGAAAACAGCAATATTAACCTTGTTAGAAATATTATATTGTTAATAATGTAGGTGCTGTGGGATCAATACAAATGCAAACAATACTGAATTCAACCTTTTTATGAATTTATAATTAACTCTGTATTATGTATAATAAATTCTAAACAATGAATTAATTTTGCTAGATATTAAGACGTGGGTTAATAGAGTTTGACTNATGTAGGTGCTGTGGGATCAATACAAATGCAAACAATACTGAATTCAACCTTTTTATGAATTTATAATTAACTCTGTATTATGTATAATAAATTCTAAACAATGAATTAATTTTGCTAGATATTAAGACGTGGGTTAATAGAGTTTGACTAAATTGTATTTAAAAAATAAAACAAATAAAGACTTTATTTAATATAGTTAACATATAGTTGTTTCATTTATTAAATAAAATATTACATTTTATTAAAATGTGATTAACACTTTGAGTGGTAAACCAGATGTGATGCATAAAAATAATTTAATTTCTAAGACTTAACATAGATTAGTAATAAATTGTTAACAAAAATCATTTTGTTTATTTATTTTATGTTATAATATGATTGCATTGATAATATTTCAAGTCAAATGTTAAAAATATTTTATAAAAGGGTTTCATTATATTTTTAAAATATACTGTATGTTTGACTTTATGCCAAAGTCATTATTCTCTATATTTAAAGTACAGGTTTATTTTTACATGTGGTCATTTTAAAAACATAATTAATAATGTAAATTGATTTATTTTAACATCCTGGTATTTTTAGATTGATGTTTTTAAATTTAAAATCTTTCCACCTTGGTTATGAATAATGAATTTAATATGTTATATAATATATAAGTATGTGTATTGACGTCAATAGAAATACTTCCCATAAATAAAAGACTTTGTTTAAATAAATTCAAAATATAAAGTTGGTAAATATAAAAATCAAAATCACTATTGACTTTCTAACTTTAAAAAGTAAATTATTATCAGTTAAATAATTACAAATTGTTTTTAAATATTATTTATTTATTTGAACAGCAAGCATTTACTTTAAACATTTATTACGCAATTAATTAGGCAAGAGATTGAGTGGCCCTGGTACAAAGTGAGGCATCTGCGAAATATCAGTATATAATTCTTCACCGGGACACTCAGTGGTTGTCAGTGCATCCCGGTGCCCATGCAGTTGATAATCAGGTCTAATATAGCCTTTATTTTTACCACATTTAATTAATTCCTCCAATGAATCCAACATTTCAACACTCGGCTCCACCTCATTATAATTGCCCACAAATGCTATGCCCAGTGAATACCGGTTCCAATTCAGTGTATGGAAGCCCTCCTTATTCCAGCCAACCCCTTCATACACCTGTCCGTCACCGCCTAATATAAAATAAATGTAATTAAATTAATTTAAATAACAAAAATAGGTTTCAAAATGTGAACCAATAATGAAATTCCATGCGATGTCTGTCCAGCCTTTGTTCAGCTGATGGTAACTCTGAAGTGATCGCAATCTCACGGAACAGTCGTTTTGATTATTACATGTATTTCCATCGTCGGTGTGGTGTATGAATACGTGTCCGACCGGCGCTAAACTTTTCAGATTAGTCTTAGGACTCCTGGACCTCCAAGCGGACCGTGAAATGATGCCAATATTTGGGCACATGTTTTGTGTCTGTCCCGGGTTTGTGTCTATGGTTTTTAATTAAAATTAATTAATAATAAATACGAATTTATCAAATTATCTACATACATTTATTATTGCAGTCGTATTGTCCGAAACAGCATACCTGTGCCCGATTAGCACACATATTGTTAGCTATGTTGCCTTTGCAACACATCTTATTTGCGGTACTCATACAGAAGCCAGGTATGTTATTAGCTTCACACTGACCACATTCAACCTTTAGGCTCAGGTTTAACGTTAAAAATAAATTGAACACAATTGCGATCACAATTCTAATGCTAAACATGTTTAATACCAAAAATCTTACTTCATTTAGTGATATAAGTTTCTGTACAATAGTCAAATAAAGTAAATTTAATAAAACTATGGTTTATCCAAACGTTTAAATACTTTTCATTTCTATTATGATAATTAATAAATAAGTCTACGTGCATAATTATTTCAAGTTATGATTTATAGTTTATTCACAAATGCAAAATAAGACAGCTAACATATTGACAAAATAATTAATCAATAGATTGCAATTAAATAGACAAAATGTGAAAATAGACAAATACAGTATATTAGAAAGGCTTTAAAGTTTAAACTAGCAATTTCTGTATTTCTTAATATTCAAAAGTATTTTTAATATAAGGTGTCTGGGTATGGGTCAGGGTCCAATGTCTGATCCTGGTTCTGATCCGATGTTTCTTCCGATGTCTGGTCAGGCGTCTCGTCCGATGTTTGTCCCGGATTTGTGTCTATGATTTTTAATTAAAATTAATTAATAGTAAATATAAATTTATCAAACTATCCACATACATTTATTATTGCAGTCGTATTGTCCGAAACAGCATACCTGTGCCCGATTGGCACAAATATTGTTAGCTATGGTGCCTTTGCAACACATCTTATCGGCAGTATCCATGCAAAAGCCAAGTATGTTATTAGCTTCACATTCATCACATTCAACCTTTAGGCTCAGGTTTAACGTTAAAAATAAATTGAACACAATTGCAATCACAATTCTAATGCTAAACATGTTTAATACCTAAAATCCTACTTGATTTAGTGATATACAGTCAAATAAAGTAAATTAAATGAAACTATGGTTTATCCGAATGTTTAAATACTTTTCATTTCTATTATGATAATTAATAATTAAGTCTACGTGTACAATTATTTCAAGTTATGATTTATAGTTTATTCACAAATGCAAAATCAGACAAAGGTAACATATTAACAAATAATAATTAATCAATAGATAGAAATTAAATAGACAAAATGTGAAAATAGACAAATATATTTTAAAAGCTTTAAGCTAGCAATTTCTATATAGCTTGATAGTCAAAAACATTTTTAAATATTCTGAATTATACAAGAATTATTCTTTATAAAAATATAAATTATTAATTTTTATGTTAACAAATCAAAGCCCTAAAAATATATTGAGAACATAATTAAAATTGTTAATTGTATCAAAAAATACATATTAAATTCAAAATTGAGTTAAGATATTGCTGAAAATAAAATTATTTTGTATATTATTTTCAAATATTAAAATTCTTTAATTGAATAATTTATTATAATTTGTTAAAAAGATTCTCAAAATTAATTAGCTTAACATGATTAATAAATAAAAATTATCATTAGTTAAATAATTACGATAAGCTAGCTTTTGAAATGCTAAAATTAATAAATAGTACATTTAATTAAATTACTATACATGTGTATAAATTTGTATTTTCTAAAATAAATACTGTATTTTGAAGTAAATGGTGATTATAGCAGTAATAGCACCAATGCCAACAACAATGACACTGACAATCGGTTGTCACTGTGAAAACACCTGGATTATTATTAATGTAAACATTTACGCATCATATGAATAATTTAAAGTAAATACATACATAATTAAAATATGTACTAAAAATTGCTACACATTAAAACACATTAAATTAACAACCACAATTAATTTTCATCTATAAGGATATTTTGCTAAAAATTCTTACAATTAATAGTTACATAAAAAACAATTATTTTAAAAATAAATCAACAAAAAAGTGGCCAAAAATGCCTCAACCGGTGCCCAACCGGGCGGACAGCGCCGAGTTAGAGGAACTACAGCTGAAAGCCAGCAAAACGGCGGACGAGTCGCTGGAGTCGACGCGCCGTATGCTAAGCCTGTGCGACGAGTCCAACGACGCCGGTATCCGCACTCTGGTAGCCCTCGACGAACAGGGAGAGCAGTTGGACCGCATCGAGAAGGACATGGATCAGGTTAACTCAGACATGAAGGAGACGGAGGGCTACTTCAAAGACATGGAGAAGTTTTGCGGCGTCTGTGTCTGCCCGTGCGGTCAGGCCAAGGAGTTCAAGGAGGACCCCAACACGTGGAACCTGTCGACTGAGATGGGAGTGGTGGTCGAGGGACAGCCTAAGAAAGTGATGTACGGCCAACAGATGGCTCACAATGGCAGCACCAGTAGTGTGAGCACTGTGGGCAGTGTTAGTCATATTAAACGGATCACCGGTGATGACAGGGAAGAGGAAATGGAGGACAACATGTGTCAGGTCACCTCAATCATAGGCAACCTGAGGAATATGGCCATTGATATCGGCGATGAGATCACCGCAAGTAATATACAGATCGAGAGAATCAACCAAAAGGCAGAATCCAATCAGAATCGCATACAAGACGCTAATGTAAGGGCCCAGAAATTGCTCAACGATTAGCTACCCGTCCACTCTCCCCACTAACCCTTTCCATTGTATGGCAAATAATAGTTGTTTTGCTAAAAAATATTCAAATAAATAATTTAAGACTAATAATTTGCAAATACAAATATAGTTATAAATTATAGTTAATTTGATTCAATATATTTATTTGAGTATTTAGTTATTTTTATGATACCAATCATTAAATACAGTGAATTAAAAATATAATCTAGTAAAACAATTCGTGATTATTATGATTATGTATAACAAGTTTTATAGTAATTTCATGCAATGATTATATAGTTTATAAAAACAGTTACAATTATCATACAATTAAAACAGTGATAAAACAATTTAAAAAGTGGTCAAAAGTTGACTCAAAACAATCGTTTAAAAAGTATTATAAAAAGTATAAAAACGTCATTCAATGTCGTCTAACCATACAGTTGGTGGTCAGTCATCGGCATCGCTGAACTGTCCGTCCACTACAGGCCATCCATTTCTCAAGGCTCTAACCTTTTTGACATTAGTGGACAGATTGGGGGTCGGGACGTAGTGTTTAAAAATAGGTAGGGGCACCGGTAAGCACGTGCCGTCGGGGTATACGCACGGCTCGTTCAGGTATGGCCTCTTCGGGTCAAACACCTCGACATCCCAACCGTCGTTGTCGTCCATCACATCCCTGTCCGCTGTGTTAGCACTCGATGGTGAGCTATAAGCCGAAGATGTGGACGATATTTGCGGCGATTCATTAGTACCGCTATTGTCTTCGGAGTCTTCATCCCACTCGTCATATCTGTGTCCAGTCGTCGGTGGTGTGGTCTCATCGGCGGTCACTTCAGTCATGTTTGACTAATCCGTAGGCTTTGATTGCTTTGAACCCATGTCTGAGCCAATGATATGAATACTGATATGACTACTAGACTGCAATAACACGCGTTTATAAGCCTATAGACCAGTCTAGTGCACCTGTAATTGATTGTAAGTACCTGGGTCACCTGACATAAAAAACAGTTCACAATAACCATAGAATTTAATGAATGATTTTGTGTCATATTTTGTAAAAATATTTTTGATTATAAAATATATATATGTGATGTAAAAAATCCAATGAATAATTTGACATTTTTAGTAAAAAGCTAAAAGGTCTTAACATTTTAATTGCTTACACATACAGTATATCATACAAAATATTTGATAGTTATGACCTTTTAAATTTTTACTCAAAATATGAAATTATTCATTGAATTTGTTGTCTCACTTATATTTGTCAAAGTATTATAAAAAGTATTGCCCCTTAAATAATTTGCACCTCATTTATAAAATAATTATATTTGTGTGAGTTTTGAAAATGAGATTACAAATGTTGTAATATGGCTAAAAGTGGCTAAAGACTATAGTATACTATACTACACACTGCTATAGACTATAGTAATTAATTATTATAATATGCGGTGACCTGTGATTGCATACAAATACTGACTCCCTTTGCATCACAACTATATATAACTTATACTAACTTTGACTCATAAATAGTTTTTTCTGTTAATATGACTACATTATGAATACTGTATAATGTTTGACACTTTTCCCTAAAAAGTCATCAAATAAGTGTGAAATGCATACTAATTTCAGTCACATGTATTTTGTAAGCAATGTTATAGTAAAGCATTTTTAGTGTCTATTCATTTTACTTTATTGATGTAATCATTGTTTGCATTTTTATTAATTAAATATACTTTTTATGAGATTTTTTGTAATTAAAATTAAAATACAAACTATGCAACTTATAAATTACTGCTGTTTGTGTATTATTTTAAGCACTCATACAGACTAACAAATGATTGCATTTTAATATCATTTAAAACTTTATATCATTTGTGTTATCAATGATTTATACGTAAACTACAAAATCGCTGATAAGACCATAAAAA